AAAAAAAAACAAATATATTATGTGCAAAATTTTATTTGTACCTAATTCTATTTGAATGAAATAAACGATAAACATCCACAAATGATAATAGAGTTCATTAAACGGATGGTGAACACAACAGAAACAATGAGAAAAAACTTMAACTCAATGGCATATATTATTATCGTTACCTGTTTGATATGTTTTTATAACATCAACAATGTGCGTTACAATAATTATGTCAATTGTCAACAATATTATTSGAATCAAGTCATTACTGCAACAAGTGTAATTCAATATTATTATGACCCACGTGATTAGACTCGAGGATATTGCCTACAACTCATCTTGTACGAGTACGTTGCATATATGACCTTCAACGAGGGACAGTACCAATACATCACTTGAATTTTGCGAATGTCGTCAAACAACGATGGCGGTCGGCACGACGGTCGGATTTCACCTAAACAGCACTTATTATAATATTATCATTATTCCGTTTCTCGTAAATGCAAAGATGACCGAATAAAGACGACTGCATAATAGGATCAATCGTTCTCCATCGTCAAACGGAGTAATGCTCGCTGATGGCGCGTTAATGGCTAAAGCAGCCCGAATTAAATGTATATAGACTTACATAATAATAATTATCCACCGTATACGACAGTGCATATAARGTCTGTATGTTTTTACTTTTTACAGCTAAAGTCAAGTTTTACGTTCGTGCTAACTGCTAAGTATCTAAAACCAAATTCGCTATGACAAGTTTCAGACTACAATATAATATTAGTAAATCTATAGTGAGAGTGCCGATAGACTGCAATATAGTTGACAGCTGAAACGCAACATTCTTCTGCATGCAGATAGGGGCGAATACAGTCACGAAACCACCTGAAACACTTCTTTATAAACATAATATTATGCGTTACTCCGATGTGGCTTCAGACTTTACTTTACAACTTTGATCTACGTGGAAACTTACGAATTTAAGGTAAGAACTCAAATTATATTTTTGTTATTGCGTATTTATGATCGACTGAGATCATTTTACTAATGCTCAATGGTTCTATGCTATTTAAAAAAAAAGTTTTTAATGCATTATTGTTTATTCTTATTTTTTCAACAAAGAATAAATATCTTCATATTTTCAATCAAAAAACACTCCGAACCTATATCCAGTTGTTGCTTTTAGTATTTATTGCATTGAAATTTTTTGGTCCATGTGGCACGTAAAAGTATAGCTCGGCTAAAAAAAAAATTTCATAGCTATATATGTAAGATCAATTATCGTGAAGTAGCATTTATAAATATTCAATAAATGTTATCGAGAAACTATCACCTTTTTGCTTTCGAATTTAATTTCAGAGAATTATTATTATTACTATTATTCGCATAATGTTATTATTACATAAACATCTTATAGAACTATAAAAGTAACACGTATGACGTATGTATTAGTTGTATAGTTGTATTATATTTTCGTTCATTGAATAGACGATTTTTACTAACCAATATTATTACGACAATGATTTATTTCATGTTTATGTACCTATAATAGATACCACAATAAACCTATTATATTATATTTGCATAATGTATGCTGTCTTATTAAATTATCCATTTAATTAATTTAATAATTCATTAGATTTAACTGGAACAAAAGGGATTTCAAATTTTTTTTTAAATTCGTATTCATTTGATCATTTCATTCTCCAAATGTATACGTTACAATTTATAACATACCTACACGTGTTTATTCATTTAATTGAATAATTATTTTTCGATTTAACGCATTGTATAGTCTCTCTATATAGGTATTTACTATTTCGAATTTACTATATTTCAACAATAAGTATCGATTCATATAATAGTCATGTAGATCGTAGGACATAGGTGTACTTTAACCTGTGACTTATAACAATGATAAATACCAAAATACATAAACTATGGTCTATATATAGCATAAGGAATTCTTTGGATACTTATAAATGCTTTATTATGTTTGATAATTACAGTAATTTTTTGCAACATAAAACACTGCAAGGTAAAGGGAATATAATTATTAGAATAAACCGTGTGATTAGTATTTCACGTAAGGTTGACGTGTGATACTTTGTAGTTTGTACTACAGTGCATTTGTTTCGAAGTAACAATAATCTCATACAAAATGTATTATTGGAGAAAACAATAATTTTAAGTTTTTTTCCATTTCAGTTGTATATATACGCACCATGTATTTATTATTTTAATTATACACGACTTAAGCGCTGAAAGTGAACAACACGCGCCTATTATTGGTACATTTTAGATAAATTTATTTTTAAGTTTATGTTTGTATAGGTATAAAACTACAGTAATTAATTTTTTTTAACTCGAATGTATATTAATACAATTTATGTTTTAGTTTAATTCGGAAGAAATTCTTACTGTATATTTTATCAAAGGTCATTAGCGTGCAATATATGAGCGTCGTGACATCAGGAAATAATACAAAATTGAAATTTGTAAAAATCAAAAATCATTAAAAGAGTCACCCTGCAGACACTTCACCGGTCCGCGCTTCTATAAATTCGAATACAACTGCAGGTGGAGTATAATCGTTGAAATCGTTAAACCGTCAGCGAATATAATATTATATGATGAGATGGACAGTCGTGTTCGCAGACGAAAAATGTCTCGTAACGCGGATTATAATATGGGTAGGTATAAACACCTATATAAAAACCCACGGTCGCGTTTTCATAACTACAATAATTACTTATAATGCAGATAATAGCGTAATGTCGTTAATCTATCGAATTTGATGGACCGCGGAAAAATTGCGAATATTCGCCGAGAGCGGCGCGTGACTTACGTACAGAATACCTACAATACTGCACGCGCTTAATGCAATAAGGCGCTTTCCGCGGTGGGAGTTGTGCAAGAGTAGGAGAAACGGACGATAGGGCGTTAGGGGGAGAGAAAGAACGCGCGAGTGAGCGAGTGAGAGGAGAGTGGGAGAGACCGATGACCACGCGAGCACGCCGTGCGCGGACGGGGCAACAACAGCAGCCCGAGCAGCAGCGGCAGCAACCGCGGCGGCTGTAGCAGTAGGGTCGTCGAGAGAACACGACACGGACGAGCGCGACGCCCGGGGGACCTCACATCGATATATCATTGTACCGGCGGCACGGTCAGTAGCCATCGCGAGTTGACGACGAGTGGTGCTCGTCGAATCCCCGACTATAGATTTACAGGCAATTTATCAAACATAGCGATTGCCGACAATAATAATTATATATTAATACTTCGCATACACTAGAGCACCAAATTTAAACCGACGAAATACGTGAATATTTAAGTGTCCGAAGAACAGTGAAAGCGGTCCACACGGTGCGTACAACAGTCATATCGCGTTGTTCGTGAATTTTTTTTTTATAATTTGAAATTTTTACGTTTGGTCTTTCTGGATTACCCTCGACCGTGCAGAGCGTAACACAGACAACGGTCGCGCGACCGCGACAAAGCGCTGAAGTTTTTTTTTGTTTTAAAGCGTCATCTTAAGTCCTCGTCGAAACTTTCCTTCGTTCACCGTCCTGTGTTTTGTTTTTCGAGTCAACGACGGTTCCTGTCGTTTCGGATTTCGTTCCTGTTTCACCGCGGCCACAGTGAAACGAGTAAGTACCATTTTATATCCACAATCCGCTGCAGCGCACAAACGCGATCCGAAATGTTTTTAATAGCATTTTCCTGTGTAGTGTTTTGAGTGCAGTCGGAACAGTCAGTATATTTTTTATAATTTAGTATTGATACACATATATATGTTTGTGATATCGTCTGTACGAGCGAAATCGAAACCGATCGCAATATAATATTATACGACGTACCTACATATATTATTATTATACTAGTTTTCAGACGAGTTTTACGTAACGACTGTGTGGCGCAAAAGTTGTTGTTTCGAACGTATATAGAAAGGCGCGCGCAATGATTTTTTTCCCCGTACGTGAAATATGAAAGTGAATTTACACGTGTACGCCGTATACGTAAGCGCCGCCCGACAAGCAACGCGGTCGCTCATCTTGCACACGACTTTTTCCTCTAACCTCCGGGCCGCCCTAGGAAACGTAYATGGCGTAAAATATTAATGACAAAGTTTTATAGGACCGAATTACCCTACCAAAGTTGTGTGTGCACGAGATCTATGGTGATAAAATATGTTTTGGTGTTTTACGAAAATCGTTTTTTTTTTTTGGACTTTTAGCGAAGAAATAGGCGTTAAACCGTAGGGATTTCATTGGGCAAAAACGTGTCTGTCGGAGATTCATTGACAAACGTTATTTGAAGGGTGATAAAAAAATAAGCTACTTTAGATTCACCTTATGGTTATGATTTTATAGATCCAAATGAGCTAGAACTATAATTCACAAAGTATAAAAACCATCACAATCCTTTACATTTTACTATTTTAGCAAAACTATGGAAAACCACGTCGGGTGGTGAATAATTGTTTACTCTGATAGATCGCGACAAGACTATAATCAACAGTGTTAGTAATAATATCATAAAATAAATATCGAAATATTAAATAACCAACTAGGCGCCCGGTGTGTGTCAATATATAGGTATTAGGTATATATACTGTTGAACGTGTCGACAAAACCATTCGGAAGAAAGTAAACATGGTGGGCGAACAAGGAAATAATAATATATACGATAAATATACAGTGTGGGAGAAAATGTATCAACGGTCATTGTGGTCGGACAAAGCGGAGAAATCATATTTGTATTTGGTAAAAAATTATAATGATAATAATAATAATATTTCGTAACGACTATAGCTACTAAAAACGATAATGCCACGAGTGCCGTTCAATAAAAATAAAGAATAATGACAACTGAAAACGTCGCCACCGTATGTGGAACCAACGCCGGAATTTGTCATTAATTTCAGTTACGCACGTTTAAGTCTAATCTCGCGACGATATAACAATAATTATTATAACATAATATTATTATGGGAGATGTAATTACCTACGCAATTCTGCTTAGTCTTCAGACGTTATCAGTTAGAAACATTTAGGGGCTTCGCGGTTATTGTGATTATTTTACCCTGCGATAAGACGCGATAAAAAACACTTTTTTTCGGAGATGATTCGTGGATAAGTATATATCTGCAGGATTTGCCACTTGGTGCTGCGGCGTTTAATGGGCAACCGAATTTCTCGGACCATATATAATATTAACCTGCAGGTCTTCAGATCTTTTATATCGGTGGATTGAATTTTACGCGACGACTCGTATTATAATTATATAGTACCTACGGCAATTATATCATTTGCATACACACGTAGGTATATGTATATAATATAATATATAGACATACGTCACACGCACGAAAACGGCCGGTGAAAACGTCTTATCGGGAAAGTCGCATATATATACGGTTTATTCGGCAGCTATATCGAAATCGGATCGGACACAAATTTAATTATCTCCACCGAACTGTAGTTGTTACTTTAATGCGCGTTTAAGCCACCGTCGCGCACCGAGGGAAAGTAAATCGGAATTATAATAATAATATATAAAAGTGGATTTTAGGTGGATACCTAGCTATAGTGTTCGAATTTATCACATGCGCGAACGTCATTTCCTCGAAAGAAAAAACAAACAAACAATAAGTAGAAAAAAGCAAATAATTCATTTTTTGCGTATGAACTAGGTACTTATAATATACTACCTATCTATAACATTATAATATTATGCGGATTGYACATAATCACCGTCACGTCGTAGTTTTAACGGTTGATCGCCGATCCGCGGTCATCCGGATTGAGTCGCACACCGTATTACGCACCTATATACATTGCATTATTGTTATTATTATTATTATTATAATTTTCTGGTTAATGGTGTAAAAAAGCGAACGGCGCTGCGCGTCAGTTGCGGACGCGTGGCGTGTTATGAAATCGCTGCTGCAGGAGCATAGATAGAATTTTAAAAAACTGTTCGTTCTACGTCGCCGTGTCCGAAAATTTCGCAACTCTCAATGCAGGAAGTCCCGGCGTGGAAGTGTGTTCAAAATATTATTATACTTTAGGTCCGTATAACGGACGGGAGTAAAGGGAGGGGAGGGCGGTCAGCGATCACGACGATGACCGTTCACCTTGATCCAAATAAAGTAATCGGACTGCTGCGGACATATTAATATATAGGTGGTTTAATATACCAGTATAGTATATAATATAATATTATGTGATAAATATGTAGGTTCACTCAGACATTCCTGTATATTATTGCCGTGTGCTAACGATTTCGCAATAGATTTGGTGTTGTGTCCGACGAATTATTATGCGATAATTGTTTGGTCGCCGGTTATATATATATATACGCTATTATTGTGTCTGAAAAATAATCGAAAAATAATATATAATATCCRTTTATATATAAATAATGCCCATGTCTATAATATACATTTTTGTCGATCTGTCAATACGCATGTACCGGGCCAACTGTTTTGACACACCATGTAAAATCCATTACCATTATTATTATACTTTTAAAGTTATGGAATATTATATAATTTACGTTTGCAGCCGCGCAACATCATTGCTTGTTGCGGTTTATATTGTATCGTATATAACATAACATTCACGMGTTTATAATAATCTTAACTGTATTGTAGAGTTGTGTACGCTGAACAAAACGGACATGCACGGTTAGCGTGCAATAATTTTACATTTTATTTCTAAAAAAAATTTTCGAAATTAATTTCTCATAATTCGTTCGGCTTACAACTCTCGATTACAAAACTGCAGAACCATGTAGGTCCGTCCCTGGCACTGTCCTCGGTAAATTAACGTAAAAACTAAAAATCACACACGAAAAATACATTATTATATATTTATATCATATTATATCATATTATATCATAGCTTTTATACAGTCAAATCGAAATAATTATAATAGGTAGTAGGTACCTAATATAATATGTCAATCCGGACGAACGCTTAAAATATTATTACCGTCAGACTACGTGACGACGGCGGATATAATGATTATGTGCTTACACAATGCGATTATTATTATTATTATTATTATTATTATTATCATTATTACCATTGTATAATATGATATATATCTGTGCACAGTCGTCGCTTGGACTTAACGAGAGCGGCCCCGGCCCGTTACCTACACGCTCACAATTATCTATGAATTATTATTATATATAAATTTGTCGCGAAGGATTGTCGACTGCACGGAGCCGAACGCTGTCGTAATTTACAACCCAAATACCTAGCCAACCTTAGACCGCTGCCGCAGCGGATAAATACCGAATATCCTCCCGGGGGTCATTCGAGTGTTACGATACCAAAACCAAAGGTTAGCTTGCCAAGCGCATTTACGCGGATCGACAGCGTTGTTATGTGATCAGCTGTTGCTGCTATACACAGGCAATCGCATATGGTTCCAGCACGCAGACGAGTAGTAAACGCCGAAAATTAAGTAATATTTAGTAATTATCAYATGATTATAATAATATACGGCGTGATCCCCATTGCAACCCACTATTAAATACATTTGAATTCTTACGTATACTGGTTTAACGTTTTTAATYTCAAACAAACTCGTGTAAAACTTTTACACGTCTCCAGACATTTTGCAATTTTTTTACATCTTTGTTCACAGTACAAACCTTACTTTGCAATAAYATAAGACTATAGGAAAGTTGTCTGYCCTAAGAGCAAAAATATATAAAACTTTTATTTCGAATCTTTGTTGTTATTCAGCATTTCGTTATTTGTCTATTGCATCGTTAAATAAAGTTTTGAAATGGCATTTGTCTTATTTTTTAGAGCATTAAAATCCGTGCCCTAATTATTATATAATGTTATATTATTATTTATTATTACATCGTGATGTCCGTGGCACGCGCCATGTTACAACTGTAGACAACGCGGTGAACCTTTTTATTTTATTTTGTCACGTTACTATTAAMTGTTTACTKTTTATCTCATTGCACATAATATATGGTACTACTTAAAAGAAATTTAAAACTTTTGGGTAAATTCAATCGTTTAATGGTAATAAAATGAAATAAAAACGGTTTTTAGTAAGTTGCAAGTGCATACAACTAAAAACAGTATGAACTGCTTAAATATTTTATTTTTATATTTACATCAAAATTATCATAAATCAAGTTGAAAATTCGGACTTTTCCAACAAACATAATAATTGAGGGTGACAACAGTAACGACTGCATAAATGTATAATGTATAAATGCCGGAATCACATTTTGTAACCTCTATAAACATTTAAAAAATTAAATTTCATAACTTTTTTAAATATCGCTAACCTATTATAATTATTATAATACACCGTGATGATAGTGTAATCTATTTATTATGTCGTGAGCTTTGGCGAGGATAAAGTGRGCAAAAAWGTTGTTTGCGCCACCGCCGCGGCCCGCGGGTGTGGATTTAATAATGTGTGTCAACCACAATGATGTCCGGTGGCGGTGGTTTCTAATAATAATAGCATTGTGCACTGGCGGATCTGTATTACTTCATAATTATATTATTTATATTATTATTTTTACGTACTCTTGTGACCGCGTCCGAGACAGCCCGCAGAGTTGCGCAGGTTACGAGTCAGCGGCTGCAATGCACACAGACGG